CGGGCTTTTTTTTGTCTGCGTAAATGCCATGAGCATAATTAAGTAAAAGACAACATGGATATTCGTTTTTCAATTTTGTTTGCAACAATAATCCTTTGCAACTAAAAAATGAAAAAAAAATTGTTGGTAATGGTACCAATGGGGAGTCAGAGCCTACCCGATGCAAAAGGTTTCGTTCCGATCGGTCCACCCAGTTAGGCGTAATCGGCGAACATATGTAGAAAAAAAAAAATATACTGATCGAATTCAGTAACCTCCTCCTTATACTGATCAAATCGAGTAACCTTCTCCTGTTTCGAAGTCGGTTAAAAAAGAGAATCGAATCATATAGAATATCAAATTTAGTTAATTTTATAAGAGAGTAGTTAACTTTATCCAAGAATCAAACTTAGGTACGATTTAACATAAAGTATTAACTAGCGAATTTCATTTTGTTAGACTCACATTCTCTAATTACGTACTGTTTAATTTGTCGAGCTTCCATTATTATTATTATTATATCAAAATCTGTTTAGTTTTTTTTGTTCTAATTGATCATTTATAATCTATATACTTTTCATTATTGTATCGTCGAAATCTTTCCAACATAGAGAGATTTCGTGTTTCAAGGAATAAATGAATTCGATTGAGGAAGAGGGTAAATAAAAATTGTTTAGTCGTAATTGAGCCTTAAAAATCATGATCGTTTATTGGCTCGAATGATTCGAATTAGGGGAAAAAGCCTTGCGGCATAAAAAACCCCTTACAAAATATGTGTTCGTTAATGATTCTACGGTGAAAATGTGTACGAGTATGTGTGCGTTGTATTGATTGCGTACTGATTGAGGAGAACAAGTCTCGCTCAGAGTCGTTTGATTTGCGTGATAATTCACGTTGCGTGAGATTATTCACGATAATCGATTCGAGGGTGTAGGTCTCACTCGAATAATGTTGTAATGTACGATTAACCACCCTACCGTGGCCTGTTCGAGGGTGTAGGTCTCGCCCGAACAGTGTACAGTGTATGATTTAACCACCCTACCGTGGCCCATTCGAGTTTAACCACCCTACCGTGGC